GGCAAAACCAGTCTGTGTGACCTTTAACTTCAAAGAGAGGCACCGAGGCAGTACATCACACAGTATTAAAACAGTGAAGTAAAAACAGGCAGTCCCTGTTTTGCTTAAAAGCTCCTCTCGTCAGCTGCTGAGGTGTTGAAACCATCAGCAGCCCTGCCTTCTTTCTCCTAGCATGGTTCACCAGCCAGCTAACAACTGACAGACTATCAACGCATTTCATGTCTTTTGACGCTTTACCACTTGCTTTACACTACCACCGACACTCTGCTACATCATCCTAAATGCTCTTAACACTCCCTTTGAAAAACCAACACTTCAAAAGCTTGATTCATATAAATATATGAATAAACTGCGTGATAGATTCATTTTGAGCATGACTGGGCACACGGCCTACTGACGTTAGCATTCTAGCTATAGCTGAGTAGCTAGCTCTCGTTCCTGCACCATTTTTTACTCAAATAAGCTTTTTTGTCAGTGTAAAAAAACATCCCACACGCTAGAATGAAGCAGGCCAAGTATTCACACTTTTTTTTAAAACAACAAATACGACACTTAAGGAGAAATGAATCACCAAAAACGCAGAGAGAAACTTACTGAGTTCATCCTGGGCAGCCATGTTTGCAGAAAGTCATTAGCGCCCCACGCAGGTTACTTAGTGTCACTGCACTCGGTGGTGCCACTCCTTCATCACCCCTACAGGAGTGATGCTACGTACTGCGCCGAGGCTTCGGAGCGTGGATCTTAATTTGTTTTATTATAAAACAAATTCATGTATTTATATAATTGTATTTTATTTTGTGTCATTATTGTTTTTTTGTATTTATTCCATTTTGTTCTTTCTTTTTTATTATAATTGTTTGTAGTGTTTTATTATTCTTATTTTTATTCTTATTTATTTAAATATTATTAATATGTTATCAATATTAATTTGTATTAAATTATTCATTGTTTATGCATTGATATAATTTTTTGTATTTGATTTATTTATTCATTGTATCTTTACTTAATAATTTTTTATGGATTTATATCACCTTTTTTATTATAATTATTGAATCTATTATTATTTGTTGTTGTAATTTAAATTGTATTTATTATTAGTATTTTATTATTAGTATTTTTATTTAATTTGTTGTTTTTTTCCCTGTCCCCCGATGAGTCGTTGGGGCTAACACAGCAGCCCCAACGACTAATCGTTTATTGAATTTTAATGTATTTTTATTATTATTTTATTTGTCATAATTATTAATCAATTATGCAATTTTGGGGACACAGTGACATGCTGACTGCAGTGGGGATTGAACTAGTTGCAGGGAATACATATCATTTATATATAAACAATATGTGCTGAAAGACTTTCACTTGAACTTATAAAAGCAGGGATATTTCATTGCCAGGAAGTAAAATGAGCCCAGAGTAAAATGTTGTTGTGTGCACAAACTAGAGGGGGACAGCCAACACCAGTGTGATTTTGGTGGGAGTACGACCACCCTGGACAAAGTTATAGTGGGGGTTCCAAACCAGGCAGCTGCACCACCTGTTCTGCTGAACATGGGCTGTAGAGAACCGTGCGGATCTTCCCTATTGACACCAGGTTTAACCTTGTCGGGAAAAAAAGAACATTAACAGTGAGAGCACAGATACAATAACAATAGTACATTTTATTTGAGGGCACCTTTCAAAACATTCAATGTCACCTTGCAATACACAAATCAACAAAATACGAGTGTCATTACAATACAAAAATGTGTTGCAAAGAAAACCACAGAGGAAAATTACATTCTAAGGAGCAATTAAAGCTAGTTTTGAACAAATTATTTTAGTGTCTGATTATATCATATATAGGTGATATATATCATTGCTTGTCATTTTTTACGTATTTTGTATTCGTGGTTATCAAGTATCAGATTACTAATTTGATTAATTCAATATTAATTTGAGTAACTGGGCAGGTATATATATAATATTCATACACATGTATTATATGAAAATATGATTTTATGTTCATTGTTTAGAGTTATTCTAAGGCTTTATTCATTGGGAACTCACAGAAAGATCACACTGTTCAAATTTCTGCCTGTTTTACACACTTTGACCAACAGGGGGGTTCAGATGAAGCCTCATGAGATGAACCCATTTGAGAACCTTCAAAGCTTCATAAGGCTTCATCTCGCCATCACTACCGTACAGCAATGAGTTCTACAAAGTTAGAGAGTTGGACGCATATAGGCTCTTATCGTCATAGTCTAGTCATTCATTAGCTTCCACATAAAGATCCCCAGATTTAGGCAAAAGGACATTGTTTTCAAGGAAATGGCCAATTTTGTCCCCACCACTTTTGAAAAGTATAACTTATAAATGTTCTGAAAAATAGCGTGCACAAAGAAATGTAATAAACAAGAACACTAATTTCCAATAATGTGACTACAATTTTAAAACCATTAAATATTGTAGCACTCAAGTCCATGTAGCTTCGTTTCAATTGTTGCCTTTCTTTAACTATATATATATTAAACTTGTTTTTTAACCTGTTTATACATTTTGACTCTTGCAAATGGTTTTCTTTATCTTTTTTTATTATGTACTGTAGCACTTTGAGGTTTGTTTCAAATGTAAAGTGCAATACAAATAACATTTATTATTATTATTATTATTATATATAGTTAAAAAATATTGCAATCAATCAATCAATCAATCAATCAATCAATCGATCGATCAATCAATCAATCAATCAATTATGTTCTGTTTTATTCTCAGCTTTTATGTTTTTATTTATTCCTGTATTTATTTCCACATCTCTTTATTTCTTTTGTTTTACACATTTATTTTTTCTTGTATTTTTTTATTTCTGTATTTATGCATTTATTTAATTTGTACTTATGTCATGTTCTTTCCTCCATACCTGTGTGCTTGTTGTGTGCATAAAGGTACAAATTCACTCCAAATCACATCACAGCAAGTAGCTGTATAGTTGGCGCGTTCATTGTTGGTTAATAACAACATGAGTGGTCCACAAGTTCTATGCATTTGTTTTTCATTGCAAGGTTGCTCGAGGGTTCCAACACCAAGGGAGAACATCTTTTGTCTTCTTGCTATGCTGATGTTAAACTGGAGAAATTGTCACCCACACTTTTTTTTTAACCAAGTGACGCCAAATGATTCCAAGTAATAAACAACTGGCTTAAATACATTACCCTAACATGTTGGGAAGAGCATCAGAGTCCTGCACTGGAAATCTGGAGGGACTTTGGTTCACATTATTGTAACCAAATACCTGCCTAATGTCTTGTTATTGGTAACCTGAATGTTATTCTTTAAAAAGGTACAAGCAAATCAAAGTTGTTTTAAAACAAAAAAACTGGTTTCAATCAACAAATGCACAAAATAAATCTTATGCAAGGTTACACAAAATAACATAAAACAAATACGTAATGCATTTGATGTGCAAAAAAAGAGTCTAACCGCTGGAGACCGCAACGCAATTTTCCACTAACATTGACTGTGTTGTTACCTTCATTAAATAAAAAACGTTATTAATCATGAGTCATTTACAAACCTTTAAAGGCACTATATCTCAGGCAATAACATTGATGGGTGCAAATACAGCATAGGTAAATAAACCAAACAGAACACAAGAATAAACATACAAATACAAAAAAATAAACAAAAAGCAAATAAAGTAAGTATCAAAATCAAATTAAACAGAATACATCCTACACAAATAAAATGAAAAACAAAAAAAACAAACTTTCATTAACAACACAGTAAGGGTCTTTCAAGTAGAATGAACAAAGTCATAATGAGAATAATTTCTTGGTGTTTCTTTCCTTTATGTAATGAAGAGCTGCTAACATTTTAAAGGTCACCTATTATGCAAATCCACTCTTTCATGTCTTTTATTATATAAACATTGGTGTCCCTCTAAAGAGATTCTGAAAGTTTCAGGAAAAATATTTGGCTCACTTTTTGTCCTGATCCCACTTATATAAAAACCTGTCTAAATGAGCTGATCAGATTTTGGCCACTTTATGATGTCATAACGATTTTTTGGCCTTGTGTAACCCATTGCCAATAACCAACCAAAGTAACACCCGCCACCTTATCACCTGAATCTCCTCCTAGAGCACCATTGTGTTATTATTATTAACCAAATATCTCGCAGAGGGGCGTGGGGAGTGGCTCCTTATTTTCATCTAAAGTAAAAAGGCTTGTTTGAGACGCGTTGCGGCTCGCCTCGAAAGAAGACGAGAATAGCCGATCGCAGCCGGGGGAGGTCTCAAAAAGCTCGCCTGAAGTCGGACAGCTCCGAGTCGGCTTCTTTTTCTTCTTCTTCTTCTTCTTCTTCTTCTTCTTCTTCTTCTTCTTCTTCTTCTTCTTCGCCTTCTTCTTCTTCTCTCGGTTTTTTGGCAGATTGCAAACAACTTTAAGGTGCATACCGCCACCTCCGGAATCGGCGTGACTCGGTTTGCATTTATAAAGAATGCACACATGTGTTTAATCGTTAATGTCAGATATGTACTAAGTCTGCGGGCGTCTTTGTCCCGCGAGATTTCAACGTCTCATGTTGGCGAGCCTCCAGAGCAAGTCGGACAAAATGACTAACCATCATGCAACGCACTAGCAAGACGTTGATCGCAACTGCGCAGGTCTCGCTTGTCTCAAACAAGCCTAGAATCAGCACTTTTGAAACAGGGCTGAAACAGAGGGGTTTGTGGGATGCTACAATTCATGATCTGTTTGGTATTTCGAGCCAAACACTTCAGAGACATGTTTTGTATCTGAAACCTATTATATATTGATGAAAAACAGTATATTAGGGGACCTTTAAGTTCGTTCTTCCATCCAGTGATGTGTGGCTTAACCTTAAGATATTTGCATTTAAGTATAAAGTGTTTGCTTAACAAAATCAAATTATTAACCAGAAATTCCATATTTTTTTCCTTTATAACTACAGTACTCCTTTGGATTTTAGCCAAGTCTGTAAGACAACATTGTTGAACAGGTTCACACAACATTGGCTGAGCTGCAGTTCTTCCACTCTCCTGCTGATTCGCAGATCTCCCAGTGCATGGATAAGTCCACCCCACCACGGTCTGCCTCTCATCTCGGTGGATCACGTTAGCACACTGACACGCATTTGTGGAGTATAGACCGTCTTCAACATGGTTTAATCTCAATGCAAGCAGCAGCAGCTGTCATGTGAATCAGCTGGACGGACAAGGAAGAGATAACAACACGGCGCTGTGTTTCTAAATCAAGGTAAAATACTCTTTGCTTTTATTGAAACAACATGTGATATACCGGCAAAAACGATGCATGTAAGCTAGCTTTGATTCAGTTAGACAGAAATCGGTGTGCTGCATTATGTGACTCTAGTGCAAAATTAGCTAAGCTACATATCAACAGCTAACTGTTAGCGTTGCCAGCCTAGGAAGTTGGCACGCGTTCATGCCAGTGGACATCTCGGACTATGTTTCTCATTGTTCCCATGTCTATTGCCAGAGGTCTTTCAGGATCGATACAATAATGTATACACGATACAAAAGATCATAGTAAATCCTCAGTATCACACAAAGTCACAGAGCGAAGGAGCTACGGGCCTCTCTGCAGCCACCTTGCGAGGGGCATTTAAACCCCATTCACTTGTGCATTAAGGAGTTAGCTGGTGTGCTAGCTAGGTTAGCTAAACGGCTACATATGCATTTATTTTCCACCTGCTAGCTGCAAGTGCTTTATAGTCCGGTACCATGAATCAATTCACAACGTACAAATCAAGAGTGCCAAATCTTAATATAAGCAAGCTAGCAAGCTAAGCTAGCAAGCTGTGCTAGTTGTTCAGCCATTACTTTGCATCATAACAAAACGTAGGCTAGTTAGCTGGCTTGACAGACAACAAAGCTCAGCCAAGCCATAGACGCAAATCCAGTTTTTAAAGCGAAACCACAACTCAGGGGATATTTATTTATCCCAGTGTTCTAATGTGTTGATTTCAATTAATAGTAGGCAGAATAAGCACGATTTAGGTTATCCGTGTTTTGAAATGTTTGTTTTAGTACTTAAAACAGGAGTAAGGTTGTAAACACATAGTGTCTGAACACTGTTGCTGATTTATTACACAAACTTGTTTAAGCTTGCAATTGCCTGTTACATAATCGGGTTGAATGCCATTACAATATGGTTTGCAGTGAAGTAGCTTTATGAAGAAATATATGGTTGAAAATCACAATATCATGACTCGGGCAATGTGATCCTTTGTCTGATGAACAATAAAGTCGGAGTTGGGAGTGGGATGGGTGGGTGGATGGGACAACAATCTGAATTGGGTTGTTAGAAAGGATCATAGGGCCAAATCGACATTCGTTGAATCTCTACCTCCATCTAGCGGTGATCATAAGCCACTGCCTTCTAGTCAAGTTTTACACCTGTACATTTGAACCACACGTTAATATTTATTACAGCCTGTAAATCACATTAAGTGGTTCATATTTTGTAGACAATCAGTAAGGAAAAATAGCTGATTGGGAGCAGTTAAATGCAAAAACACACTGATCATCGACTTAACAACTTATTGACAAATTAAGCAAACACAAATTACTTTTTGGCTATATTTACATCTGGAAATAGGTCATTATTATTATACCCTTTGAGCAGATTTCAATTTATGTCTTTATTTTCTTTTTCCAGGTTATATCTGGTGAGGCGGCAGGATGGCGGGGGCAGAGGTGTTTACCCCTGCGAACCCCACCTGCAAAATCATGACGTTCAGGCCCACCATGGAGGAGTTCAAAGACTTCAACCAGTACCTGGTTTATATGGAGTCTCAGGGTGCACATCGCGCAGGTCTGGCTAAGGTAGGGAGCCTTTTTTCAAATTTCAACTTGGAAACAGTTTCAACATAATTTTTGTCTTGTCTGTGAGTTATGGAATTCATGATGTCCACTTAGTTGGTGTGTCAAAGTTTCCTCTAATGTGTTCCTCTAACAGCAAGACCCTATTTGTACTAGGTTACTCCACTCCTGTTTTGTTTTCCAAACCTCTCCTCTTCTGTTTGTCCCCCAGGTGATTCCTCCTAAAGGCTGGAAGCCCCGTCGTACCTATGATGACATAGATGATCTCATGATTGATGCTCCCATCCAGCAGATGATGGCTGGCCAGTCAGGGCTCTTCACTCAATACAACATCCAGAAGAAGCCTCTTAGCGTGCAGGAGTTCAGGCGATTAGCTAACAGTGACATGTGGGTACTAAATACATACATTTTATCTAGGAAGTAATGCTGCTGCCCTGTTTGACCTAATTTAAAGAAAACCTAACTGTTCATATTCAAATAATAATTATAATTATACCGCTTATCTAACAAAAAAGTTTGAAAATTGGTAAAGAGAAAGTTACTTAAGCCATGTGTACATTTCTAATGCTAGTTTTCCTAATCCCAAATCTGATTAAAGATGGGATTTGGATAAATGATTTAAAAGTGCTAATGTTCTACATTTAGCTGCTATGTAGTTTGTGCTAATGTTTTCCTTGCTGGCATACAGATGGCCATTTCACCTTACCAATTGTTATTTATTCCTCCTTTACAGGTACTGTACACCACGCTACCTGAATTATGAAGATCTGGAGAGGAAATACTGGAAGAACCTGACTTTTGTCTCACCCATATATGGTGCTGATGTCAGTGGCAGCCTCTATGATGAGGTAGATGAGCCTTCTTCTTCTTTTGTTGATTTCCCTGTTTTTATTCACCTATTTTAATACATGCGTTAATCTCTGTGTCTTTATTTATCAAACAGTAGAAATGACTTTGGTAGACTTTATTTCATATTATTTAACCTAAATCTAGCAGTTTGGTCTTTGGAAAACTGGTTTTTGGAGTCATTTTAAGGTGTGCTGGTGGCACAATGAGTAAAATCTTCCTTAATGTAGCTGATTGGATTAAAAAATGTCATTGGCAACCACAATACTAAGCTGCTTATGACATCCAATTGTTTCTAATCTCCCAGGATGTGGAGGAGTGGAACGTTGGCCACCTCAACTCTATCCTGGATGTTATCGAGGAGGACTGCGGTGTTTCCATCCAGGGGGTGAACACTCCATACCTATACTTTGGCATGTGGAAGACCACATTCTCGTGGCACACTGAGGATATGGACCTGTACAGCATCAACTACCTCCACTTTGGAGAGCCCAAGTCATGGTTAGTATGGGAAAGGGGCTAAACACACAAAGAAGCAATGAAAAATTGCCTGAAAAATACTTTTAACACTCAATGGAAACCAACTGTATAATATTCACTAAAGTATGTGTCTTACTAGTTGCGACACATACTAAGTAAGACACATACTTTAGTACCACTAGTAGTACAGTGACACTTTTATGTTCACATCCACTTTTCTACACTTTGGATAAAATGGCTACACGCATTTAGCCCTCATCAGACTATAGGTCTATATATGGTCTGGTTTAGGCAATGGCTACTGTGAGAAATTGACACATTTCTAATCTTAACCAGTTACCATTCACTATACATTGTTTCTGTAAAATGATTGCAAACACTGTTTAACAGTCTGAAGTATTTTACCTGCCTGATTGCCAACTTATTTGTACTTGATGTAGCTAAGCTTCAGACTAACTTTTTCCCCCACTACATTTGAACTGTCTCTGGAAGCTCTAGAGCAGTGGTGGGCAAAGATAGCAGGGGCATCAGGCCAGGCCTCAGATGATTTGAGGCCAAATATCATATTTAGACTTTTTTTTTTTTTACATATAATTGTAAGGCAATACATGATTGTCACTAAAAGCCTTGTCTCTACATTACAATAAAATATAAAAAATAATTGATTAATTAATTTGAATAAAAATTAAAGTTAGTAGCTATTAAAGGCATAAAAAGACAGACATGTATAATTCTTTCTATAGAAATGTTTCTTCTGCCCGTAAAGTTTCCAAACCGGGCTTGTCTGGATAAGCGCATTTTTAAAACATAGTTATTGTCCATGCCGGTTTCAGTTGGATTATTTGTCACAGTTGCTCCGATCAGATCGCTCTCCTCCATTTTGTAGATTATTTACGACTTTTGAATCCACATAAACACATCGGCAAATTTCGGCTTAATTTGAGCATGTGTTTTAAACAGTTTAATCCCTTTGTGAATTGTTTCCACTTGCGCCGTCCCTTAATTTCTTCATACAGCGGGAATCCAAATAAATTAATCCTGAGTCCAATACCCATCAAAGTCACTCCAATAGTGCTCCTTAATTACGCCTTCATCCTCCTTTAACAAAATACTTCACATTCATCCAGTTTGTGACAGTAGTTGTAGCATTTTGGAGACTTTTAAACTTTAATTACCGCTGTTGCGCCCCCCCTTGTGTGTGGGGGTGGGGGGGCGCAACTTCCAACAGGAGTCATTTGGGGGGGCTCTTGGGAAAAAAGTTGGGAACCCCTGCTCTAGAGGACAGAGATACTCGGAGACAATTCATCAATAATTAGTGTAATAGGTAAAAGCTGATTGCAACACATAATTAACTAACTAAAGAAGTCACTCAAGTGTTAAGTTACTCTTTTGGGTAGATTTACACACTTTGAATTTTCCATGATATCTTGTTAGATATTATAGAAAATACTGTACTGACGCTCTGACTGAGTTAATGCAAACTATTATTTTCCCCTTTCTCTGTCCTTTTTTCGGCACAGCACTCAGTCCATCTCTATTTCGATGTCTCAATGTTCAGTCCTTAAACTTGAGCTACAATAATCCAAAAGGATACTGTAGGGAAATGGTATAGGATTTATTTGACTTAAATTCAAATGCCAATATTCCTAGTCAACTAAAATGTGATGATTTAAAAAAAGGATTAAGATTAAAAAAAAGTAGGAGACGAAATAAACGCCCTGTCACAGAAAACAGAAACGTTTATTTGTTCAAGCTCTTGCATGTTTTAATAGAAGAGAAGCTGGGTTTTAAGAAGTGTTGGGTTAAAATGATAAAGTGAAAGCTGAAGTGAAGAATGCAGGTAGATCAAAATGTAGGTTTATTTTTATTTCTTTGTCAGCTTGGCTTGCTCAATTTCTCTCTCCTCTCCTCTTGCCCTGAAGGGAGCTCTGCTCATTAGAGCAGTGAGCTCTGCAACCCACAGGGATCAGTGTCACAGGCAGACACACACACACACACACACACACACACACACACACACACACACACACACACACACACACACACACACACACACACACACACACACACACACACACACACACACACACACACACACACACACACACACACACACACACACACACACACACACACACACACACAGCAAAGAACAGCCTGATGATCCAAGTACACACGCATACCCTTATCATCTAACACACAGGGGTACACTCTTTCATCATGCTTCTATTTTGACATCTCTTCTCTGGAGTGGAGCGGCTTTAAGATGCACCTCTCTCACCTCTTCTCAAACCCCTACCCCTCACCTGCCATGTCACCTCCACCTGAGGATGGCTCTCCCTCTCACTGCTCTGTTAAGCTGACAGGTGATATGATAAAAAAGCCACAGACCTGAGGGCAGATGCTGCTAGTCGAATGGAGCGCCTCGTCAAACCTTGTGGGAGTTCACTCAAGAGCCGGGTTTGTCACCGGGAACATCGGGAATAGTTTCCTTTCAATTGCGTCGGCAGTGTAGCACAAGAAATAGTGCAGGATAAGGCCAAACGAGATTAACGCTTAAGTTGACAGCAATAGTTTTTTTTCTCCTTTTTAGAAATTGAATTAGACTCCGTATTTTGAAACGGTGTTAACAGAGTCAAAGACCAAATGCATTGGCTTTTAAAGGTCCCCTATTATAATATTTTTCGTCAAAATATTATAGGTCTCAGATATATACAAAACATGGTGCTCCAGGAGGAGATTCAGGTGGGGGTGGGGGGGGGTTACCTTGGTTGCTGATTGGCTAATGGTTACACAAGCCAAAAAATCGTTATGACATCACAAAGTGGCCAAAATCTGATCAGCTCATTTTCAGACAGGTATCTATATAAATGGATCAGGACAAAAAGTGAGCGAATCTTTTTTTTTTGAAACTTTCAGAATCTCTTTACACAGAGGGGACACATGTTGATGTATAAAATACGTGAAAAAGTGGATTTTGCATTATAGGTAACCTTTTAAATGTTAAAGGCTCAGAAGTTGCCAAGGTAATTGGAGGGTTTATACTGTGCACCTGAATACACTTTTCCAATAAGACATAACAACATTTCTGTCCCATCAGCCTTCTTACAATTATTCGCTCATCCACCACTTGATGGCAGTCTTGAAGTTGTAAAGGCTTTGCTTGAAAACTTGTATTATAGAGTTTAGGCATAATGAAGAATGCATGTGGAGAATTTCACCTACACATTGAAAAGTATTTCTGTCTGCTTCATATTTATCTCTTATCTCTAATAGGTATGCAATCCCCCCTGAGCACGGGAAGAGACTGGAGCGTCTGGCTACAGGTAAAATAATCATTTATATTCTCTTTGTATTCTATATATGAATTAAGGCGGGAGAAATAATTAAACAGTTATTAAATAATGATGCAGCATTCAGAACCAAGTCTGCATTAAACAACAAAGAACAGCACATCAATTCAACTCTGAAATTGGATGAGAGTAGTGATAATGGAAAAGCTAAGGATGCCGCATGCTAATGAGCTCAGAATACAAATGTGCAAAAACTGCTATTAGTAGAAATGTAAATGCAAAAGGAGGTTTAATGTAGTGACAAAGCTCTTTAGAAAAATCCATATTGTAAGGCGTAAGTAGACTAAATAAACCGTAATGCATAATGTTCATTTGACAACTTAGTCATTATTAAAGTGTTTGAATTTCAATTTAAAATGGGCTATTAGGTCTAAGATTGCAATGCTGATTACTTCTCTGGATAAATGGAAATCCAAAAATGTAAAACTAATGATACAAATTACAGTAGAACCCTATATAAAAGGAACTATATATAAATACATGTTAAAACAGGTTTACACAGATATTTTAAGGTTAATGGTTAGGTATAGAAAGAGAAACTTTTCATGGTGACACGTTCTGAAAATATGCTTATTTTTTGATTTACCCAGATTCATTGTAAATGTAATCTGTTAATTAGATCTGTAAAGGTTGAAAAGCTGACCACAGAAACACTTTTTAGTCAAGCTTTTTATTATGCATGTTATACATGTTTCTCCGCTGGCTTGCACTCTATGTTAATGTTGTGTTTGTGCACATTTTTGTCAGGTTTCTTTCCTAACAGCTTCAAGGGGTGTGAGGCTTTTCTTCGTCACAAGATGACTCTAATCTCCCCTTCCATACTGAAGAAGTATGGCATTCCCTTTGATAAGGTAGGTCCTCATCCCCTTTGAAAAATTCCTCTTCTTGCCTTGTATACGCCCTTTAGTTACCAACTTTATTGGGACAGCTTTTCATGCCAGTGAAATTAGCAGTGCTCATTCTGAAATGTAGACATCTGCAGTAACTTATTAAAGGATTTCATTCATTCTCTTTTACTTTCTTATTTAGAAAAGAAAATGGGAGGAGAGTTCACATTTCTTTTACTCTTTCAAACCAATCTCTTCCCCTATGTTTATAATAAATTGCCAGATTACTCAGGAAGCTGGAGAGTTCATGATCACCTTCCCTTATGGCTACCATGCTGGCTTCAATCATGGCTTCAACTGTGCGGAGTCCACCAACTTCGCCACTCTGCGTTGGATAGACTATGGCAAAGTAGCCACACAGGTAACATTCATGCACATGCTTCAAGTCTTTGGAACATCCAGCAAAGTGTCTCAGAATACAATTCAATTCATGCTTACGAATCATAGTCATACAGTATCAAACAGAATTGATTATAATTGTGTTAGTTTGCACTGCAATGCCTCTTTATGTTTTTCCAAAGCAGACAGAATATTCATACTCATCTTTTTCTTCCAGTGCACTTGTAGCAAGGACATGGTAAAAATATCAATGGAACCGTTTGTGAAACAGTTTCAACCGGACCGCTACGCCAACTGGATGGTGGGCAAAGATTCTGCACCTCTTGATCACATACTCGCCACTCCCAGTACAACACCGGAGCTGCACAGCTGGTTGCAGAGGAGGCGCAAGGACAAAGTTACTTTGAATAAAGGGTACTGTATTCATATTCCAACACAGTTTCTTCTGCTTTCCCTGCAATTATGTTAAAGAGAAGAGTCTATTGCAGCTGATGGTGGGAGTACAAGTGGTGCTGTTTGTATATTGATGACATCATATTGTTGAAATTGTCCCATTTAGTTTTTTCTCAAGAAAAGAACATGTCCAATGCAACATTTGGAGAGACATCAGTCTGTGATGATGCCTGTAATTGTGGCCCTAGTGCATTGGATAGTGAAGAGACAATGGCATTTGGCACACATAAAAAACTTCCACATTTGTTTCCTTAATTTTGGGCTTCAATCTTCTTTTATCTCAATCCTTCCTCACAGCAGCACCCACTCTCGTATGCGATCCAAGCGCCTCAGAACCACTGAGGAGCCCATTGCCCTGGATGGCAGCACAGCGCTGACCAGCAGCAAGAGGAAAGGCCTGGGGGGTCCGACTGGTCCCAAGGTGCGAAAGTCTGCTGCTGGGACAAGCTGCAAGGAAGAGGAGGAAAAAGAGAAGAAAATGGAAGCCGAGTCAAAGCACAAACAGAACCAGAACCCTTTTCAGCTCTCTGGTAAGAGACAGCAAGTATACTGTATGCGTGGGTGTGATTTAAACAGCTTGACTGCATGCTTATGTTGCTGTTTACCTTGAGGTACATTATATTAATTTTTCCTTATCCTCAACAGGTCCTTGCAGACAGATGTGTGTGGTCAAGGTAAATCGTGTAGAGAGTAATAGTTTAAGTCTTTCGAATAACTCTTACTGCAACCCCATTCCCTCTCCTGCTGCACCAGTGACGAATGACCTAAAGGAAGAGACGGTCACTCACACTGACCCTCAACACCTCTCAGGGTCAGGGGTCACGAGAAGGACTCCCGATGGACTCAGACAAGGGCCTGAGGATACCATGATGCACCTGGGAACTAATGAGCCAAGGTGTTGCTCTCCTGAACCACAAGACCTCTCACCTTCTCAGGACTGCTGTATCAGGGTCTCTCCCCTGGAGGCTCAAACACTCAGCTCGTCATCCAACACAATAAACAACTCTGCTGAGACTGAGATGAGCTCGTGTCCGCCTGACTATAACTCTCAAACATCGAGTTTCTCATGTAAAGAAGACACTTTAAGGCTATCACCAAACACTGACACTAGCATGGACACGGGTACTGATAATTACACTAACAACATCGCTAAAGCAGAGAAAATAAACACAATTGTTGATACCAAACATACCAATCCACACTCCACTACAAAAGCACTTTATGATCTTAAATCTGAGCCAGCAGAGGGGGGTAGTAGCACATCATGTTGCTCATTTTCACCTTCAGGACAAAATTGCAATTTGGAGAAAAACATCACCAAGGGAAATCGTTGCCCTCCTCTGCTGCAGAGGAATGCAGTAGATATGCCACAACTCACTCTGGAGCCAGCAGATATGGTTGGAATCTGCCCTTTGCCACCTGTACTGATCCAAGAGATGCCCTCCCTCACCCCGGCTGAGTATGGGCTAACCAACGTCCCCAAAGCTACATCAGGCAGTCACCAGGGTGCACCTGTGCTTCATAGGGAGACGCTAACTAGCTCTCTGTCCTCAAATGGAGCCAAACAGGAGTTAAAAAGCAACTTAAAGATGTCAAAAGAACCTCTTTCTGTAGAACGTGCCAACAAGTGGAAGTCAGAGTCTTCATATAGCTGTAAAGGGGCAGCAGTGTCTGGTTCAAAAGGAGACGGGGCTCATTTAACTACCAATGCTATGCACAAAATAAAATCTGGTGTTGTCCATGAAAAGCTAAAAGCGCCAGGAATTGCTGCGGAACAGGAGCATATAAAGCTGGAAAATGTTCCCACTGGACAAACTGATGCTTCCCCTCTCCAGCTAGTTAAGAGCAATGTACCTCAAACAGAGCAGCAGTACAGCCTATTAGAGTTAGCAAGCAAAGAAAACTCACAGCACCCGGCTCATAGGGACAATGCATTCAGTCTGAACAATGGTCTGCCTTTTTTAACTGGTACCTCAAACTATAACCCCCATACGCCATTATGCAGTCAAGGTGACTCGGCACTACAGCTGCACCACCACACTACATACTCCCCTTCCCATTGTACTTTTGAGAACTCATACATGGAACCCAAACCTTTCTCCAGCAGTATTTGGAAAAACTTAAATTCCCAGGGTCCTGCAGTACTCATCCAGAGTCTGCACCCAGAACTCCCCTCTGACTTCACCCACGACCCGCTGCCTTACACCATGTGGACCGAACCTCAGTGCAAAGAAGTCACAGACCTGGAGGTCACAGAACAAGACCTACGTGAGTCTGAGAACCAGGAAGAGGAAGGGGGGCCTCTCACCTGGGCCCAGCTCGAGCCCACCTCACTAGTTTCAGTTGGTGCTGTTGAGTCCCTGGGCCTCTGTGGGGATTATGAGCTCCACCGAGGGGACACAGATGGGTCTGACGCCCTCTCCTTGTGCAGGGAGCTGGGGAGACATAGGGACACAGAGGAGAGTCTACACTCCAATACTGCTGTTACACCTCTGAATATGGCAGGAGGTGAACAGGATGGGGTGTCTGACATGGATGAAAGGGGATCTGATGGCGAAGAGATGGAGCAGCAATGTAGAGTGAAGGGAGAGAGCAGTAGTGACTCATCTGATGAGGAGGAACAACAAGAAGAAGAAGAGGAAGAGGAGGAAAATGATACAAGTAACTGCGAGTGTGATGAATCAGGCCTGGAACCTGGGGAGGTTTGTGCAGTGAGTGCTCTTTTACACACAGTCATACACATTCAGTCTTTAGCTGAAGTTTGAAACAAATACATTTTATTTGCACTCTAATGCCTTTCACTGATGCCTGTTCCTGCCAGTACCCTGCCCTGTCGGTGAAGAGGACCACGAAAGAGCTGGCGACACCCACTCAGGAAACCTATGGCGAGGGCTGTACCCACGGCTGTCAAACCACAGGATGCCAGTGATGATGGTGGGAACTCACGCACACACACACACACACACACACCCCTCACACAGTTCATTGAAAGATATTGCAAAGGTCAGGCCTTAAAAAACACTCCCAACATTCAGAGTGACACATGTTCATGCTTTAAGCCAAGAGACAAGCTCATTTCAATAACAACCCAGGGATATTTCCTGTTGTGGTCTGAGCTGCACAGTGGATGGCACTAAGCCAGAATCCACGATCCTCCACTGCTTGCATTGCATTGAACTAGATTACAGTTCTCATAGGTAAACTAGGAGGACTGGAATTCACTTTGCTGTTTCATTACCGTTAAAACAAACTTTTACATAGTAATCAACACTTCAGGTAACATTAGTTTTTTTCCCACAGCGTAGCTTTTTATAACCATCGTTTCATCCCACTCTTAAGGTCACTTCTCCCTATTCTCATTTTTCACATTTTATGTTTCCCAAAATGATTGGACTGACGTCAATGCACACATAAACTAAACGGATGTATCTCAGGCTTACCACAGTAAAAAGACAGAGATAGGTACTACTTTGTTTTCGTTTAACAGGGTGGGTGGGGAGGGGCCTCAATTAAAAAATACTAATGCACACACACAAACACAGTCACACAGTCACATTCATTATCTCTATGGATGTGAAAGGGATGAATAATTCAGGAGGCATTTTAGTTGTTTATCCCTGAGAAATTACCATGAAATGACCATGGCTGCGAGGAGCCTATTTTATGATGATGAGAGCTCTTAATCATTTTGGGTAATTTTATAAACTGGCAGGCCTCTCTATTCATTGAAAATGGTTTTCATGTCACTGGAGGGGATTGTCACCACTGTGGATAGATTAGATCTGACTTTACACCAAATCAGGCGGTTTGGCGAAAACACACATCCTTCCAGTCATCTGAGTGTGGGAAGTGAATTTGGGCTGGGAATTTTGGAACAATGCAGCGGTGTGCGGCAGAACATTTTAAACTGACAAACATTTTGAGAAACGCAGCCCAATGTCGTATTTCGTTGGCCAGTCACGTAACCAGTAAGTCGGTGAGAGAGTACAGTAAACGTTGCTTTCTCTCGCTGCCATGGGGATGGGTGCCGAAAAATACTTTTGTTAAAAGTTAAGGGTAAAAAAACGAAACACAAGCACTTACCCCCAACCGCCCAGGAGTTTGTGTAACAGCTGACTACATTGATGCTCGTTTTAGCAACTCTGTTGGGAACTTGATAGCGTGCTTCCTGCAACAAGCTCCAGCACAAGGCTCAGTCCCTCAAAAGAATAAAGACGCCTTAAAGTGTGGAGCAAATCATGACGCTCTGACGGAAAACAATAATTGTGTAATAAAAAGTGTAATTGTTTTTACATCGGAGTGTTAAAGTTCACGTCATGACGTCACAAATATTGGCCATTTGGTATAACCCTACAGCTAATGCTGGACCGCATGATTTGGTGTTAATGCCGCCTTAGCAGCAAATCTATTATTCAGAATAAGATTTATTACAAAGTAGGTTTACACATACCAGGAATTAGCTTTGGTATATACTGCTAAAGTCTGTTGTGCACCGAATGCATATTATGTTTGATATTTAGGGCACACAGTTGTTTTCGATTGAGAACAGGCTTAATTAACATACTACCAGACGAGAGATATGCACTCGATAGTTCATGAATCATCATCTGAGCCATAGTAGAAAAAAGGTTAAAGTGGAATAGATAAGTGCTCTCAATGTTGTAGCTTTGTTTTGTCTCCACCTAGAGCCCCCTGAAGCAAGCTTGGCAGAGGAGGAAGAGGAGGAGGAGGAGGAGGAGCAGGAAATGGAGGCGTGGGCGAAGCCCCTCATCTACCTGTGGCAGAACAAGAAGAGATGCTTCACATCAGAGAGGGAGTACAATGCTCATGCGGCCTCCATGCAGCCCCACTGTGCTGTGTGCACACTCTTCATGCCCTATTATCAGGTAAAGCAGAGTTCAACTCAAATATAACCTGTGTTACTAGTTGGATATAACTCACTGTTGAAGACACGATGGCCTTTGTTTTATTAAGAAAGCAAAGCCTCAGTAAATACATAGTTAAGTGGTTTGCAGCTGTCTCTGCAAATAATTAAAGCTGAATAATTACCGGCGAATAAATTAAGTATTGAAAATAATACTAATCCCGCTTGTGATGAATGTGGTTTTCCTGCAGCTTATCATTGTCTTATTACAGAACCAGCTCTTGTAATTTGCCACAACCTTAATTATAAAGCAAATTAGTGGGGAAATATTTTATTAACCACCTCTTAAAAACAATTTGAATGATTTTCATGTTCTTCTTAAGGTTGAAGACAAAGCAGAGGACGACACACCTATCACAGCCAAGTACACCCCCACACTCTCTTCTCCAATGGAGGGACACACACATCCCTGTGGTGGTCTCAGGAGAACCAAGCCCCTTATCCCAGAGATCTGCTTTTCTTTCCGGGAGCAGAACTGCCCCCCAACTCCCACAAACCCTCTGCTGCAGGAAGACGGCACCTCCCCTCTGCTCTACTGCCAGGGCTGTTGCCTGCAAGTCCACGCAAGTACGTATTAACGTGTAGATAGTGTGTGAAGGTCGATACAGGTGTTGTAGATACCTCACCAAACTGCATTGTTTGTTTTTATATGCTGTGCTTGTTTTTCTGATGTCATTGTGATAGGGTCGTCGGGTTTGAGTCCTGTTTCAATGTTCCATCCACTCTCTGTTTCCCTTTCTCTCCCTCTCTCTCTGCGGTTGGGAGTATTTTATTTCCCCCGTCAGCCGAATGAGTTTGATTCCTCTGTCTTCACCACACATACTTCCTGTCCAAAAGCCCCAAGCCAGTGCAACAAGGCCTCACAAACACACATTTAAGAAAAACAAAAAAAAAACAGAGCCTTTCTGTTCCGCTGGACACACAGCCGCAATACTCGGTACATTATCTTAATCCCACATTCACACACTGAAACAGCCCTAGGACTCTTTCTCAAGCCATGCACATTTTCCCAATATCTTAAGCTTTCAGCCGGTCTTTTCTACAGACACACACAGATGCATGCAGGCACACACAAGCACACTTTTAAGGTCTCACACACTGTCGGGGAATCCACAGCTTTAAAATGACTTTTCTTCTCCCAGTCACTTTCAAACCCTTATACTTTCCGGCCTGTGGTGTTTTTACTTTGGAGGCTCTAGGTGTTATGTATGTGCTGTGTATGCTGCATGTGAGTGTGTGTGTGTGGGGGGGTGGTGGTAAAGCAGTGTGTGGTCAGGAGCTGAAGAAAATGTCATTTGAAACTGATGAAAAAGCCACAAGTTTAGATTTGAAGGACCGACGGGAAGTACAAGTTGAAGTAGCTGCCCACCCCCTACTGTTATTTGAACTTGCGAAAGGAAGAGAGGTGAGCTTAGATTTTATGTTTGGTTTGGTGATGGATAGTGGGGGGAAAGAACTGAGACGTACACATGAACATACTTTAAGGGTTTCTTACAAATGAAACAATCCCCCCAGCTTATGTGTCTAAAACCTCTAGGAATGGAGTTTAACCAGCTGTCGGCTTTGAACAGAATCACATTTGTCTTGCTTATAAAGTCAAAATGTTTTTTAGTTTGAAGCCACAAGCGTTTATGTTTTTTATAAAACATTTCTGTTCCTCTGCCACACCAAGAGCACAGACCAGAACTAAGAAAGGCGCACATATTTACTAAATGTTGCTGATTCATACTACTGTGTATGTTCTGGGGTTACAAAGGGTCTGAAACGAAGGCATACTGTCACGCCAGTGCAAGTCTGGCTTTCTACAAAGTGCTTTTTGAAACACAGATGAACACACTAACAGATGCATTTCCAAACAAAGATGTATAGATGTAACTCTTCCTCTTTTGTTGTCTGCATTTCTTAACCACAACCATTCCCTTACACACATGCTCTCTCCATTTACACTTTTTCTGCATGATACAATACCACCATTCTGTTGAAAATCATTGGGAACAAATTGTAGATGGCACTTAATTCTGTTCTTTGTTAGCGATTTACCATTAGCTCTCACATCTGCTGTGTGCTTTATGATTTTTTTTAAACCATGCTGCCCGGTTTGGCGGTATTTGAGTCAGTGATAAAGATTGAAATTGTTCAAAGTTATATCTTTACCAATTATTGCTATCTATCTCTTCCTCCTTTAGGTTGCTACGGTGTTGCCGAAGATGATGTCGGTGAACAGTGGTCATGTGATCGCTGTACAGAAGGAAGCTTTACTGCAGTAAGATGATTTTTCTCTTTGTGTGACGATTGTATTTTTAGATGGAATGTAGTTATATGCACATTACTAATGGGGGCATTGCTATTTTAGAGCAGCATTGATCAAAAAGACCAACATCTTAAATGTAGGCTTGATAGACGGACTCTGATTTAAGCCTCAGTGTTCCTCTAAAAAAACAGATGTTGCTTAGTGAAGTTACTTTGTGGTTTCATTACTTGGTGTGCATTACCTCGCTTGACTTAGAAGATGAACACACTGGAAAATATATCCGTTCCGCAGTCGCATTGTGAATGCCTTTTTGTTCTCAGAAGACTTCACAACAATTTGACCTATTTCCCCCACAATGCAGGTGTTGTATGTAAACATGTGTAAGGATATTGTTGTGTGAAATGACACCTTTTCTGCCTCTCTGACTCCCGCTTATGTTTTTTCAGGAATGCTGTCTCTGTAACCTCAGAGGTGGAGCTCTGAAGAAAACCAAAAACGACAAGTGAGACAGGCTTTTGTTCTCAGATTAGCTCTGATCTCCAGAGCTCACCCACATAATTGTCTGTGCTTCTTAATCATCATGATGTATTCATTTGTTATTGTGTATGTATATAGATGGGCTCACGTGATGTGTGCGGTGGCACTACCAGAGGCACGGTTCAGAGACGAAGCCAAGAGGAGTCCTATTGATACCAGTAGGATCCCCATGCAGCGATTTAAACTGGTGAGCGCACGCACGCACGCACGCACGCACGCACGCACGCACGCACACACACACACACCCTTGAGGACTAGCTCAGTCCAATTAATGAAGTGTTCAAAGTTCTAATTAACAATGTGAGAAGAACATGCCCGCAATCAAAGCTAGATAATTAACCACTGGTGGGTGGGGGGTTTGTGTATGTAGGGCTGTCTGTGTGTGGGCGTTTGTCTTTACATGCGTGGTCGTGTGTCTGTCTGCCTGTGTCTTAGTGCATGCATTTGTGTGTATGCGTGTGTTTGTTTGCTTAATGAGAGCTGGAGTGTGTCTCAGCAGACCTGACATGTTGCCACTATAGTTAGCTCTCTGCTGCAGGCACCATGATAGCTCAGCAGAAAACGCAGTGTTGGAGAGGAACACCGAGTGCAAGATGGATAACAGAGACGAAAGCGGCCTGCCCATTCCCTGCTTACTTTATTGTTTCAGCAAAAAGTATAGCATGTAAATGAAAACTTCAGCTTTTTAAAGAATCGTATATGATTGATCAAGGCACGGGTTGGGACTTGGAATGTAGTTGCATTGATTTACCGACAATTAGATGAGAAACACAGTGCCCCTGCTACTTCACAACTTTAACGTTACTGCTTACTTCAAACACACCAAAACCCACACACACAACAGGCCTCTGGGCTTGCAATACCGTACCCGGAACCATGACTGAGTAACGTTATGCCAGGCAGACATACATGTGACAACCTTGCAGCTGAATTCATCGAACTGACACAGATATTTAGACCTTATTAATATTTGCTGTATTTGATCATCAAGGTTTTGTAACTGTCAACTTGGTTGCCTGCCTGACTGTTTTTAGAGGTGTTGATTCACCTCTAATAATAATTACCGTGGCGAATTTAGTTTGTGGTGCCATTCATCTGTGCTACATTATACTTAAAGGTCTCTAGTAATCAACCCTTCCAGTCAAAACTCATTGCCAGTGTGTATCCTGGTGGAGAGGGGTTAGTCGAGGAAGCGGATCCCCTTTTTCTCACCTTCTTTTTATTACCCTAATTTAAACTAATAGCACAATTCCAGCCATCATGAACAAAAATGGAGTGTAAAATATTAAAATACCTCCTACATTTTCCAAGGTGTTCCTAAAAAAACAGTAACATGATTGCATCCCCGAAAATAGTTAAAAAGATACGACTGCATTTACACTGAGAGAAGTTACCACAGGGAATGTACAGGGATATGGTTAATATCTGCTCACACCACAAAGATATGAGGCTCATTTTGAATATGAGTGCACAGACCACAAAGTGTCAGAATCCATACCCAGGGGCTAAAATCTGAACAAAATGAAAAGTGGAGTCCAGACAGGAAAGGGCAGGAGCTCATAAAATGCCTGTGACATTACCCTGATGATTGCCAAAATGTTAAGATATTGTAATGACTAGAATTCTTTCTTTTGCCAATGCTTCGTTCCTTTAGCTGTTTGATTATATAAAGTTTGCAGCAGTGCCAATTGTAGCTTGACACCACAGATTATACACTTTTTACCGATGCAGCTAAAAGTACATGCTTTGATGTCGTGATGTTGGTATATACAGTTTTGGAAAATGTGTCTGATCTAAAGATGCAACTAAGAGTGCATTTATTATTTATTTTTTTCATAACTTCATGATGCCAAATATTTTATTTTTGGTGCCAATTTTCACTAATGAATACGCTGATACAAGCACTTTTTGGACAGACGCATGCATTTGTTGATAAAACAGATGGCCCTCTTTTCAACAAACTCTGACATCTAAATTAAGGTACAAATATGATAAACCCCACAGCATGCTTGAATAAACAATTGCACATAATGTAAAAGAAAGACAGGTTGGTATCTTCATTTACATTTTAAAGACATATTATTGGTCTTATACCTTTTTTCTTTAGTCCACTTCATCATTTGTATGTTGGCTCCGTGAGCCACGAGTTCTCATTGGACCCGATGCCCCAGCAGCAGCCCGGTACATTTATAATTGAATATGGCACACACACAATCCCACACTGAACACATTCATAATTTACTGTGGGAATGTTCTTAACGCATGGCTCAACACAGGCACCCAAATACACCCCGGAGAGGGCACAGGCGTGGGGTAAAGTGGGTTAGGCTCACACAAACACACACACACATTGAAACGTAAAACTATGCCGTCATCAATGTATTAAAGTACTTTGCGTTTTTTCACACAAAGTGAACACTATTTAAAATAGTTGTTAAATGTTCACACACACACACACACACACACACACACACACACACACACACACACACACACACACACACACACACACACACACACACACACACACACACACACACACACACACACACACACACACACACACACACACACCTACCTACCTACTACGTACG